CTGGGGCAGCTCTGAGCCAAGAGGATGAAAAGTCAACCAAAACTATGGGGGTGAGGGGTGGGGGTGGGAGGAGTTGCTCTGCTCAGCAGCACTGCCACTTGGTGCAAAAGCTGACAAGGCATTGAGCCCAGGAGGGCTGCTCCCTGGGGAGGAGGGCTTAAGGGAGGTGAACTGAGAGGGCTCTTGTCCAGGAGGGGTCTGGCTGGCAATGCACATGAAACTAACATGAGCTAGGGCTGGAAAGTAACAGAGAAGGAGCCCAGAGATCTGGTTCTAGCCCTGTGGAGTGTGTGCAGGGTGGGAGGGAAGGGGTTTATGGGTAGGCAGAGGGAGGGCAGTCCTGAGAGAAGGGATCAGGCCGTCTGTCTGGCAGTGTGCTGAGCTCTCTGCTGTGTTCCCAGTGGGCTCTCTCTTTCGCACTTTGACCATTCACTGGTTAAGTCATTCATGCAAGAATCCCTGAGAACCTAATGCACGCCTGGCCCTGTGCTAGGATAGACACCAACCTCATGGAATTCACAGCTTGTTAGGGAAAGACGTGACTACAATACAGTGCTCAGTATACCGCAGTGCTTAGCAGAGACCCTGGAGCCAGATCTGCTTTTGGATCTGGATTCTGCCACTTACTAAGCGGGTGGGGGTGGGGGAAGGAGGAGGATGCTGGCGTGTAATTTAATCTTTCTGAGCTTCAGTTTCCTCATCTGCAAAATGGTAATAGTAATACTTTCTTTTTAACCCTCCCTTCTTAGTTAAGGGTCCGTATGATAACAGGTGTAAAGCACTTAGATCACTGCCTGGTACCCGGTAAGCACTAAGAGACGGGTGGCTCTTTAACGCTCCATCCTGTGGCTGGTCAGGAAGAAAGATAAGACTGCTGACAAGGAAACTGCTTTGGATGGAAAGGGGGATTTAATTTAAAAGCTGAATTACTTTGGACTAGTCATTTCCCCTCTCTAGCTCTTTTCTATTTGTAAAACAACAGCAGCAGTCATCACCTCCCCCCATCACTACCGCCACATTGTCATTGTCACCAGCCCAAATGATTCAGGAAGTGAGGTCTCACTGGGCCCAGAGCTGAGGACAGAAGTGGGTTGGGGTTTGGGGGTGGGGCATATGACCTGTGTTCTTCTGTTCCAACAGCTATCTTGTGTGGTTTATCAGCAAGGGGGACCACATGAATGAGGCTGGATTGGAGGAGGAATTTCTGAGACGAGACTGGAAGCCAAGTTGCTGGGAAGCCAGGGAACTGAGTAAACACTTGTATAAAATCTGACTTCACTGTTTCCACAAACCTACCCAAAGTGCTGGGGAACTTGTCGGCTCACATTTCATTACAGGGCTGGTTGCTGAGTGCAGGGCATGTTGATTTAAGCTGCTTTCACTAAATCCTGCTCTTGGTGCCAGACAGCAAGACACTCATCTCAGGGACTAGACAGTCCTACCTTCCTAGGAGGTGGGAGGCAGGGGGGCCCATCTCTGCCATCCCAAGAACCCATAATCAACACGGATGGAGCAAGGCTCACTTAGGCTGCGTCTGGTGGCCTGTAGCCCCCCACAGAAGGTCCAGGCAGTGTTTGTGCCAGCCCTGCCATCCCAGACAGCAAGAAGCATAAATGACATGACTAGACCTGTTGCTTGTCTCGGGTGTGAGCTGTGCCAGATACTTTGAGACCCATTTTGCCTATATCTTCTCACCCAATCCTCATAATAATTCCATAAGGTAATTTTACCTAAGAGGAAACTAAGAGTGAGAGAGGTTAAGCCCCTTGTTGAAGCCATTCAACTAGTAGGAAGCAAGTCTCCCCCCAAAAGCCTGGTGCTTTTCCCACTGCCCTGTAGCCACCTCCAAAACATAAAGACAGTCTCCTGGCGGTAGCGGATCCAGGCCATGAGGCATCTCCTGCTTAGCTTCACTGCAAAAACTCAATAGCTTTAAAACAGCTTCCACTCTGTGAAAGTGCCCTTGGAAGGGAGGTGGTGGAAAGACATAAAGTGCTTATTCTGTGACAGGCACTGTTCTACGTGCATCCAAAATGATATAATTTAATGATCACATAACCCGCTGAGGTACTATTAGTATCTCCATTTTTCAGATAAGGAAACTGAAGTCAAGAAAAGCTAAGTTTCTTGCCAAGATCACACAGTTAGCATGCGGCAGAACCAGGACTGAACCCAGGCAGGCAAAGTCTACACAGCAGGGGCTGAGGGGACCGAACAGTTGAAGTGCTTTCATTCTCTCTTTTTTTTTTTATTTCAGCATAATATGGGGGTACAAATGTTAAGGTTACATACATTGCTCTTGCCTTCCCTCCCCCCTCGAGTCAGAGCTTCAAGTGTGTCCATCCCCCTGACAATGCACATTGCACATTTATAATGTATTATGCCCATCCCCTCCGCCCCTCCCATCTGCCCGACACCCGATAAATGTTTTGTTTTTGTTTTTGTTTTTTAACATTTTGGTTAGATTTTATAACTTTGCCTTTTACCTAGCAAGGGTTAGAGGAAACGGGCTCCAGACATAGGGGAGGAGACAGCAGAGGAGAGACAGTGGCCTGTGGAGGGCAGCAGAGAGCGCCAGGCTGCAGCCCCAGGCTGGGCTTTGATCCCCAGCGTCCCCCTCACCAGCAGGCCTCAGGCAAGGCACGGGAACCCCCTGGCCTCTTCACAACAGGGTAATACCATCCCTGCCCCCCCTGCCCACAGGGTGCTGCTGTGCAGGGTGTGTGTTTCTGTGTGAAACATCTTAGTATGCTACGAAGCACTTAACACACACAGGCGGTTACTACTATCATAAGGGGTGACAATAACTTTGATGCTGTCTTTTAAACTCCTGGCCTCGTGGCAATCATGACACCATTTTAGTCAGTTACAGGCTAGAGATTTAAAAACTATAATCCAATTTCTGAAAGGGCACATTTCATCTTGCCTCTTCGTATCAAATGTCTCTGTTAATATCCCAGTGCTCTCACCAATGCGTGTTTCAATCATAATCAAAACAATAGCTAACATGTATTGAGCCCGTATCATGGGCCAAGAAGCATGCGAAACTCTCTTTTGCATTATCTTAAATAATCTCGCAATAACCCCAGAAAGTAAGTACTATCATTATCTTCATTTTATAGCTGCAAAAAGTGATATAACTTGCCCCAAGCAAGTCCTATAACTTGTCCTATAAGAAGTCAGTAGTGGGGCCAGGATTTGAACCAAGGCCTGTCTGACTCAGGGGCTTTTCTCACCACATGGATCCGCTTAGCCTTCTCACATACATGTTTCATACCAGTTATGGGGAGTGGTGTGCCCAGGACAGAGGAAGATGAGGTCTCACAATTCTACTCAAGGTCCCTTCTGATGGTTCTGTTGTCTCCTTTCACAGGGCCAGCTAAAGAGTACTTATTAATCTCACTCAAAGTTATACCTGCCTCCTCAGATGCTATGGAGTGTCATCAGGGATTAACAGTACAAGACACGGTTATATACCTATCATAAATTAGCTTTGCGGCCTCATAATGAACAATGCAAGGCAGCGTAGCTTTAAGAGGACCATTTATTATACCGCTATAAACAGAGCTATATAAAAAGAATGATTCCTGAGACCCTGCACATCTGTGCTCACAATCATGTCTTTACATGAGCTTTGCAAACAAGGATAAAAGTCCAATTTAGACTACACATTGGATGTCAATTATGTATTCAACAGGGAAAGGTAATTCAAAGTATTCCAAAGGCCTGAATGCTGCATGGATCTCATTTTTGCCAAAGGTCTCCACCATCTTTCCTGATCACAACCAGAACGGTTAATATACAACGTAATGAGCTAATCTGAGCTTCACTTTGTTTAAGCAATGTAGAGTGGTGAGGAAAATGATTTAGAGTAAAAAAATCTAGTTGAAGATGCTATCACTCTTTAGCTGTCTGTCCCTAGGCAGGATTACATAAAAGTTTCTCTGAGCCTTAGCTCAGTTTACTTACCTTGATTTGTTTGTTGTCTCCCCTCCCCCTGCTAGGATGCAAGCTCTATAAAGGGAGGGATTTCCTAGTCTCTTCTCCCCTTGACTAGAAGAGGGCCTGGTACTGTAGGAGCTCAGTAAGTATTCATTGACTATATGTAAATTGGCAAAACAGAGATGATTGACACCTTTCTCAAAGGGTTTTTGTGTGAATTAAATGAAATATTAGGTGTGAACATAACCTACCATATACCAGTGCTGTGCCTGGTTTTCACATGTTCCAATTCAATCCTCACTTTGGGAGGGACCAAAAATCAAGTGTTTTCCAACAGAAAGGTGCCAACATAACTACCCTTTGCACTCTGTAAGTATAAACCCTGCGGTGAACCAAATACTACAGTCGAGAACAACTTCACTCATGTGTTCCTTCATTCATTCATCACTGTTTATCGAGCAGCTGCTGTAGCTCAGGCCCATGCTGAGTCCTGGGGCTGCAGACATGAGTGAGATGCTGGCTACCCTCACGGAGCTTACTGCCTAGCAGAGCATTTCGCCAGAAAGGCAGGCAGGGTGAGGAGTGGGTGAAACAGAAGGGTTAGCTAGTTGGGGCCTGCATCCTGTAAAGCCCCACGCTGCAGAGCTCGCCCAGGAACACTTTCCCTACGGCCCGGCCTCCAGGGATAACCATTTTAACATGAGAGATGAGATTTCAGTGACACCCATCTACAAAGATAAGTAACATTGTTAAGGGACACTGTTTTGAATCTCAAGGCTACCACTACAGAAGGGATCATGTGAGGATGTGAGTTTTGAGTCCTCTCTCCATCTAAGAGTAGAGGTGTTGCAGCTAGAGTTCGGGGAAAGAGGAAGAGCATTCAGAGACACGGGGAATGCACTGCTATGTGACTGAGAACAGGGCCAGGTCCCTGGTGAGGGCTGAATGGTTAACATGTTACAGTGGAAACCCCCTCCCCCCACCCATGTTTTTCTCCCTGCCCTCCCCCCAGTTCCTTCCCCACTCCCTCCATCCACCCTTTCTCTCCCCACATTTACCAATAGAACAGTCATGTCCAGTCCAGCTTGGGTCACAGCTGCAGAGGCCGGTGTCCGGGAGGAAGGTTCCATGGCCTGAACATTGGTCTAAGCATGTGGCCCTGGGGGTCTCGCAGTTGGTGCCTCCCCACCCCACGGAGCAGTGGCACTCGCCTCTCACACAGACACCCCGGCTCGAACACGTGGGGTCCATGCAGTCCACTGTGACACGGAGGAAGGAGAACACAGGTAAGCACCTGACCAGCAAAGGTGAGGCTTCTTTAAGCAAATTACTAAACTTTGTAGTCAAGGGGCTTCACACATTCTGGCAGAGGACACAGAGGCCACCCGATATGGCAAAGAGCAGTATTTTAGCAAATGGCAGGCCTGGTTTCCCAACTCCACCGAGTGACTGTTTGTTTACTGCCCTGAGGCTCAGTTTCCTCCCCAGTAACACATGGGATACAAATTCCTCCCTCTTGGTTTGTGGTTGGACAGAAATGTAGCAGGAGCATCAGCATAGCACCAATGCCCACCATAATAGAGGACAGGCCTTTGTTTTGTCCACGTCTGTATCTCCACCTCCTCCTAGAAGAGGCCCTGGCAGATAGGAGGTGCTGAATAAATCCTAGTAGAACAAACTTCTATTATCAATTCACAATGCATGTTTACTTATGTGAGCATGAGACTAAAAGAGATTCCTTAACTTACATGAGAATTTATTTTGCAATTAAATTCCATTAGATTTTATCATATTCCCCCAAATCTCATGATTGATATGAACTTTCACACTTCACTTTCCTGAGGACAAACATTTCAGCAACTATTCAAAATTACATGTGCTGACTTTGCACAGTTTCTCCTTAGGTCGTGGCTGAGCTGTATAGCTGTGGCTAACGGCCAAGCAGACCCTGTGGGGCTCCTAAGACCCAAGGTCAAAGAGGTCTTGAGTGATCAGCTCAGAAAAAAGGAAGGGAGATGACATTGTGGGTTACCTGCTCTGTGCTTGCACTGTATTAATTGATTTCCTAATACTCTTCTCTTAATAACCCAGTGAGATACAGATGAGGAAATTGAGGCTCAGACAGATTGAATAACTTACACCAGATCACACAGCTAACCCCTGCCAAAGAGGAATTGTTTTTCTTGATCTTTTTATTGTGGTAAAATACACATAAAATTTATCATCTTAACCATTGTTAAGGGTATACTTCAGTGATATTAAGGATATTGATATTGTTGTGCAACCAATACCACTGCTCATCTCCAGAACTCTTTTTATCCTGTAAGACAGAAACTCTGCGCCCATTAAACAATTCTGTATTTCCCCTTTCTTCGAGCCCCTGGCAACCACCCCTCTGTTATTACTTTCTGTCTCTATGAATTTGACCACGCTAGGCACCTTGTAAGTGGAATCATACAGTGTTTATCTTTTGTGACGCCTTATTTCACTTAGCATAATGTCCTCCAGGTCCACCCATGCTGTGGCATGTGCCAGAATTTCCTTCCTTTTAAAACCACTTGGGTACAGCGCTCACCAGCTGCGAAACCTTGCCCACAGCCGGCACTCACAGTCCGCACGATAGGGTGTGCTGTGCATTGACAACCAATCCGTTTTGCTCTTTTTTTTTTTTTTTTTGAGACAGAGTCTCGCTTTGTTTGTTGTCCAGGCTAGAGTGAGTGCTCACAGCAACCTCAAACTCCTGGGCTCGAGCGATCCTTCTGCCTCAGCCTCCGTTTTGCTCTTGTGTGATGAGGAAAGCTTTAAAGCACTGAAAGCTTGTTTTACTTTATAGGCAGCTTTACTTGTAATGTAAATATCAGAATAGGTAACATATACATGTATGCTTTCATTACATTATTTTTAAATGTTCACAATTTTATTTTGATAAATGAAAAATTAGAAAAGTCATATCACGGCTGTCAGCTAAAGTTGCTGTGCGCGTTCATCTGTGGCTGTCGACTATAGTCGACGCATGTACCAAAGTGGTTAAGGCTGAATAATATTCCATTATATGTATGTATCACATTTTGTTTCTCCATTCATCCATTGATGAGTACTCATGTTGCTTTCACCTTTTGGCTATTGTGAATAACCCTGCTATGAACATGGGTGTTCAAATATCTCTCTGAGGCCCTGCTTTCAATTAATTTGAATAGATTCCTAGAAAGGGAATTGCTGGATGATACTGTAATTCTATTTTTATTTTATTTTATTTTTTTTTTGAGGAACTGCCATACTGTTTTCCACAGCAGTTCTACAATTTTACATCCCCACCAGCAGTGCACAAAGGTTCCAATTATTCCACATCCACAGAGGAATCTGAAGGCAGGTCTGATGTGATATTTCCATTAGTGGCCAACTTCTCCAAATCTAAGCTTTAATTATGGGACTACACAAAATTAACAGAGACCTCTAACTGTCCACAAAGCATTTCATGGAAAATGTAGAAGAGTACTGAGAATTAACTTAAGTGGCTCCAGTTCATATGAAAAATGCAAAAGGTAGCAGAGAGAAGAAAAAATTGGCGAAGAAGGTTGGTCCATGTTCTCTACCAAAAAGTTGTTAGGTCTGTCTTTCTCTTTAGGGAGGTAAGGCTTCCACTCATTTTGTAACTGTGAGGGGACAGTGGTGTCCTGGTGGGGGCCCAACATGTAGCTACTGGAGTAAGGGTGTTGTGGCACTGCAATGAGCTTATTCCACTTCCTCCTCACAGGAGCACGTGAGGAAGCCCTGTGCTGCAGAGGAAAGAGCTTAGCATTTGGCCTCTGAGGACCCAGGTTCAAGGGTCAGGGGACAAAATGTACTGGTTCTATGACCATGGTCAAATTACATGTCTGCTCTGAGCTTCCCATCTATAAAGCAGGAATGGTAAGAATATCTACCTCTTAACGTATTGTTGCAAAGAAGTTATTCTTCCATCCTATCAGGACATTCGGTAGCATGACTTGGGCCAACTGTGGTCAGAGCTCATTTATAATTCAGATATCCTTTAAATTCATTTATTAATTATATTTTATAACCTAGTATAATTGGCTTTTGCATAAAAGACTGGGAAACCCAGCCTGGGTATATAAGAGTCACAGACACAAAGTACAAAAACTTTACAAATGGCAACATTCTGGGAACACTTATACCAAGAACCAGCTTATTTAGAAAGCTCTTTTGTTATTCAGGTTTTTAAAGGAGTTCGACTTAATCTAAATGACAAATAAGATCAGGGTTCAGAAGTGACCATTTACTAAGAAACATAGTAATGATCATAATATCAAGTAGCATTAATTTAGTCCCTCTTTTATACACATTATCTCATTTAAGCCTAACAAGTAAATATGAGATAGCTACTATTATTATCCTTATTTTACAGATGCAGAAACTAAAGCACAGAGAGGCTAAATAACTTGCCCAAGATCACACAGCAGTAAATAGAGCAATTTAAATTTGAACCACTCTTTCCTGGTATAGGCCTTTTGCTATTTCTTCTTATAATCTTACTTGTTCAAAAATACATGAATGTGTATATACTTACATAAACACATAAAGTGGTTTGAAAATAGAAACTGAAACAAAATAAGAAAAGAAATAGGGCAATGTGGAAAATCAATAAAGCCAAATGAAGGCAAAGAATCTCCTTCTGCAGTCTCTGGATACTGTTTAAACATGGTTAGAGCATGACCTGTTAGAGTTGCTGGTAATTAAAAATAATAAAAATAATAATAGTGATAAATTCTCATGACTTGCCTCAGATCTCAGAACCTCAGAAGGCTTATCCTGGCCCATTAAACTACTACGACAATTCCCTAGATCCAGAGAGCTTTCCAATTTGACAGGAAACAACTCAGCAATTCCTATCCCAAGGCCTATAAAGGTATTTCCCGTTCTGTGAGTACCTGGCCCCCAGCTTTGGGTTGAAACTGTCTCTGAGAATCCCAAGGTACCCTTGAGGTTGAACCTATAAATCTCCACCGTTAGTGAGCAGGCCGAGAGGGTGCCAAGTTCAGCAAGAGGCCCTTGGCGTCACAGCCCTGTTCTTCCTCAGATGTAATGAGTCTAATAGGGACCCAGGAACCAGCAAAGTGAAGCCCATGCTCTCAGCAGATGGTCCAGGCAGAGAACAAAGATCAGAAGAACCCAATGAGAGGCTACCTCCAGGCAATTAATCTTTGCTTCTGAAGGTCGACTGGGCAAAGTGAGTTGGAGCAGGAGGGAAGTTTTAAAGATGACTGCATCCCAGGAGGGAAGGCAGCTCCACGAATCCTAGGCTGAACTGGCTGAGATTTCCGCAGGGAGGATGCTGCCCCTGCTGATCCTAAACCTAGGGCCGGTATCTATGCCTCAGCGATGCTCTGCCAAAGAGGTGGCAGGCAGACTCTGGATCTGCCCTCACTTTCTGGGGCCTCTGGGTATGCCCCCTAAGATGGGATTAAAGTTGTCTTCTCTCCATCCCACCAGGACAGCTTTCCCAGGGAGCTGTGCCTAACATGGGAAGGGCTGGCTGGCCTGGGTGGCGGAGCACTGGGATGAAGGGGTCAGGGCGGTGGGCCGAACTTCGTTGCAGAGCCAGTCTAACTTAGTTTCTTCCCAGAAAACCTGCCAAACAGTTACATGTTTCCCTTTGCAGAGCTTGCCATTCAAGCCAAAATTTTTGGCAGAAGCATAGCCCATTAACAAAATGAGGAGGCCTGCATGGCCAGGCTGCAAACACAACCCTTTCCCCAAAACGTTCCACGCTTCAGTGACTGCACAAGCTATTAGACACTCTCCAGTTCCAAAAACACGGTGTCTCACTTTTCACTGCAAAATGTCTAGGTTTGTTCTTTTCTGTTCCTCCCCCGGCTCCCTCCCAGTGTCCTACTGGCTCCGTTCAAGCTTTAAAAAATACGGGGCAATAAACTTCATAAGAAGGAAGAGAGAGAAAAAAGTCAGCTTGTTAGCTGATGTTTTATAAACACAGTGAAACCCGTTAGCACAGAGCTGGGGGAGGAGGATGCAGGCCCCAAGAAAACCCCATTTTACACACAAGCACCGTGCAGTGACGCTTCACCAGAGAAGCAGAAATAATAAAAGGAATCAGTACCAGATGGCCCTCCTCAGAAAAGAAAGCAGGAGTAAAAACATTTCTTTTCAGATAGATAACGTATATCACAGCTCTGAACAGTTTTTATCTCTTTGTAAGTAACCCCTGGCTCTGGGGCACCATCTAGCACGGGCTCATCGGGAGAGGGCAGCTCCCCCGCTCGGGCCCACACGACACGGGCGGGGTTGGGGGGCGGCCACAGTTCCAAGGGGAATCTCCTCTTTGTTCCTCTGTCCTTCTCAGGGTCTTCCCCTCAAGTGACTACAGTGAAAACGGAAGGCAGACGAAGGTCACCACTGCTGGGATAGGGACGTGGAGTTCCAGGACTTGGCCCTCCCCTCTTGGGCAGCCTAATGTCGTCCCCATCAAAGTCAACGGGCCTGAGTCAGGGCTCTAGCCACACCTGGGGTTTACACACAACCTGTCTCAGAGAGGCGATGCTTTTCAGACATCAATCCCTGCTCATTCCCCACTCATCGAAGGTAGGCCTGTTAACACTCTCTGTTTTCAGAGAGAGCGATGCCTTGAGATGGGACTTTTTGTTAAATACCAAAGGGGTTTAGAAGACCAGCGCCTGTGCCACCTACTGGAGAAGGTGGCAGGGTGCTGGACTGCAGAGGATGGGAGATAATAGCAAGCGCAGCATCCGGCAGTTTCAAATGGTCCAGCGCATCCATTTCAGAAACCCTTGGATGGAGTGAGTGGGGTGAAATAGGAAACGTGCTTCCATTGTCCCCAGAATAATACTAATATTATAAGAGCTCACATTTATGGAGCATTTACTGTGTGTCAGACACTGAGCTAAGGGCTTTACATGGGTCATTTAATTCAATCCTCACAATGGCCCTCTGAGGAAGGTATTCCCATTTTATAGACAAGGGAACTGAGGCTAGGCAGTGGCAGGGCCAGGACTCTAATCTGCATCTGATTCTCGAGTATGCACTCATAAAGCTACTTCCCATTGCTTGTGAGCAAGGCTCTGGCTCTCAGCTGGAAACCCCATGCAGTCAGGAAGAAAGAGGACTAGATCTGAAGTGAGAAGACCTGGTTTGAATCCCATTAGCTCCGCCATCAGTCAGTTCTATGACCATGGGAACGTCACTGCCCTTCCCTGGGCCTCAGTTTCTTCATTTGTGAAACTGAAATATCCATTTATCTAACCCAATTAGATTTTTCCAGGAAAGAATTGATGTTGCTGTAAATCAAGTCACTTCCTCGCCTTGATCTGCACAGCCACCTATTTACTTTATGAAGAAGAGAGATACGCTCATGGGCACTGAAGAGCCACACACATGAATATACACACACACATGCACGTACACACAGGAGTTTGATATAGGAAGGCAGAGTTTGGAGATCTATAACAGGATAAGACTTCAGAAACGAAGATATAAAAAGAGTAGACAGCTTAGAAGGGAGTGGAAAGAACTTGGGCTATGGAGCCAGAAAAATGGGGCTCAAACCCAGCTCTGACGTCTACTAGCCATGTGACCCTGGGCAAGTCATTCAACTCTCTGAGTTCAGTTTCCCCAGCTGTAAAGTGGAGATGATTATGCCTCCCTAATGGGTTTGAAATTAAATAATAGGAGACTTCTAACACAAAGCCTTGTATATAGTAAGTGCTCAATGAAGGACAGCTCTTTTCCCCTTCACTGACCAGGACACTAATGTGCCTGTCCTCTTCTTTTAGATTAAACACTGTTGCTGGCTGGGGGAGTGGGGGTCACGGGGAGGCTCAGGTGGCTTCCTCTGCTCCCTGGCACTGTGTGCCGGCCTCTATCTCATAGGAAAGTGCTGGAGTTGCCACCCTCACGTCTTACCTTCCTCGCAGCTCTCGCCCTTGTAGCCAGGGTTGCAGATGCAGGTGCCCATGATGCAGGTGCCGTGGTTGCTGCAGGCCACGTCGATGCACTGGTTGGTGGGCACATCACACTCAGTGCCCTTCCAGCCGCTGTGGCACAGGCACCGGCCCTTCATGTACTGGCCATTCCCGCTACAGAGCACGGGGCAGGAGGCTGGGGAGACAACACCAGAAGGCTGGCATGACGCAACACCCAGTAAAACGCAACTGTCTTTGTCCTTTTCTTTCCTTGGCCTGTCTGGCTTGGCCAATAGCCACAAACACCCATGTGTGTCCATCTGTCCGCTTCTCTTGCTTGATTTCATTCCAGTTGAAACACATCTGGAATTGTAGGTGCAGGTGTGCAAGGCAGGGCCTGGCAGAGCTGGTGCCCACTTCCCCCAGCCCCTTCGTATTGCTGATGGGATACCATGCAGCCAGCAACCTTGGACAGGAAGCTACAGTCTGTTCCTTGGTCTCACTGGAAAAGACAGCGGCTGGGCCTCCTGGTGCCTGCCCCAACCCCCCCTCCAGCACTCTCCTAATATCACTCCACTTTCACTTCCCACACCCCATCTGTAGCACCACTTGTTGTCCTCTTTAACCAGCAAATCTCAGCCTTCCTTGCCTTTCAGGCCTCCACTTCAGCCCCATACACCACTGCCCCCTTGAGAGAAGAGCTGAGACCAACTTGGCTCTTTAAAGTATTATCTCTTCATTCTGCCTCTTAGTGTAAAGGGTTTTGTGATCATCTCTACGAAGGACACTATATAAAAATAAATTACATTGCATTGTGCTGTAAGTACTTACCGGTCTTATCAAGATACAATAAGGCTGTTTTACACATGACTGTTAACTTTAAGTGCATATGGGATGAGAAAGTTAATTCTCGTTAGAAGGGATAACTCATCTCCTCTCCCTGCACTACTTTTCCTTGCCCCCCACCTGGCTTCTTTCCTTTTTAAAGCACTCAGCAGGTAATCACTGCACTTCTCAGGGGCTGCCAGCTTTGTTGCCTCAAACTGAGTCTACTTCCTGTTTGGAAGAATAAGCAGAACCTCCAAAGCAGTGTCACGGCATAGTGTTTGCAGGGCAGTGCTCCTTCGGCCTGGAAAACCATCTCTGCCTTCCACTCATGACCAACTTCTCAAGCTCAGAACTCAGGTCCAGTGTGGACCCCACGTGGGAAGTCTTTCCCTGTCTTCGTGTCTTCCACGCTAAGAGGGCTCCTCCCTTCTGCTCTGACAGAAGCTCCCTGCATTTAGGCTTGGTAGAGTGTGCTCCACTTATAGTACTATGCTGCAGTCTTTTATTCACTTACCTGTCCCCGAGACTGTACTGAAAGCTCCCAGGATTGGAGCTCTCAGGTCCTACCTAGCACAGGACCCTAAGTGGGCATGAGGTGAATGACTGCTGAATGAGAGAAGAGGTGGGAAAAACAAAAGAAAGAGGCATTTCAGTTTCCCAGGGGAGTGCCAAATCCTCCAGACTACACATGTCCTTTGGCATTTTCTGCATTAATTATTCCAGGACAGAAACGAAGGCTAAAAGCTCAGGGCAGACTGTGGGCAGCCTTTTAAACCATCTCCATAGTGGTTATCGTCAGCCCTGGATGTGCCAAACGTGAGGCACTGCTGGGGTCCTGAGTGGGGCAGAGCAGCCCAGCCTCGCCAGTCCCTCCCCCCGGGTGGTCTCAGCCACGGTTCTGCCTGTGTTTGCGGGCAGCAGCAGAGCAGCTCCTGGGGCTCCTGTACACGGGCCAGAGAGAAATCACACCAGCTGTCAATGATGCTCAGCCAGGGCTGATCGCTCCTCTAAGGGGAAATCAAGTTTTTAAAAGGACCCTGATGCCACTCTGCCTGCCCAGCAATGGACACTAAATTCACTGTGGCTGCCCATGTAAAAACCCTCTCTTCCTGACCTCCCAGTTCATTCGCACGTGGGTAACAAGGGCTGACAGGGCCACAGCTCTGCCTGCACACCTCCCGAAGGGCTTCTGGAGAATGGCCCTTGGGAGCCCTTCTCTGGGCAGCAGGAGGTGGCTGGAGTTCTGGACTTGCTCTGAGAAATGGAGCCTGAGCTGCCCAAGGATGGGGAGCAAAACTCCAGAGCCCTCGTGTAGATGTCTCACCTCTGCCGCAGTCAGGGCCCAGGAAACCCAGGAAGCAGTGGCAGGTCCCAGAGATGCAGTCACCGTTGCCATAGCAGTTGCTGGGGCAGTTATCCACCGATTCTGGGAGGAGAAAAGAGAAAGAGAGCTGAAAATAGGAATTTCTTTACTCAAACAGAGAGCCCAGGAATCAACCTTAGAGTAAACAAGGCCCACATATTTGAGCTATTCTGGCCCAGTCACTGAAAGGAATCAACAGAGTTATAATTCTATGTTATTTTTACTCTTACTGAGGTGCATCTCAACTGACATTAGGTGATGTGTTCTGGAAAAATGCTTTAAACAAATTTTTATAAATCAAATTTGTATCTATAAATGCATTAAAAATTCTTCAGCTAAAAACACTGAGAGAAAACCGTTCACCCTGTTGGCAGCGGTTATCTGTGGCTGGCAGGTTACCGAGAGATTTGTGTGGTCTCCTTTATGCTTTTCTGTATTTTACGTTGTCCTCATAGTGGGCTGATAGTCCATTAATTTGTTTTTTCATAAAGCTACTGGGCCTTTGCGAATCTGTCTCTTCCCTCCTCTGTTTTTTCACGTATCTGTCCAGGCCCCTCCACCCCTCACGGGGGCTCCTACAGCAGCCTCCCGGCTTTGCCCTTGCCCCATCCTGACGCATCCGCCGCCTGGCAGCCTGGCAACCTGAGCAATCTTGGAAACAAATCTGATCTGTCACTTTCCCACTGAAAACCCTTCCGTGGCTCCTCATTTGCTGAGTTGAAAAAAATCCACGCTCTTTCAAAAGGCACAGAAGTTTCCTTTCCTGTTCCCTCTTGCACTCTCTGCACCCCCAGAATCTGCTACCATGCCCCCTTGTTGCAGGGATGTCACCTTCTCTAAGTCCTCCTGGTACCTTTGGTGTATACTTTGTGTGACAGTGGCAAGGAACTATAGAATCAGGCAATTTCAGAAGGATTTTAATCAAAAATTAGGCAGTATTTTGTAGCTCCAGTTAGTAAACCTGCTATCTAGGAAATGTATGCATTTGGAACAGCTCATTTCTCAATGATGCCAGACGTGGAATAGAGCAAAGAAGCAACTGTATACTGAATGCCTTCTTTGTGCCACGTGTTTGCAGAAAATTTATCTCATTTCATTGTCAGCATATCTGACAAGCATGTATTGTTATTCCTATTTTACAAAATAAAAAAAAAGAGACAGCTGAGATAAATGAAGTGATGTGCTGAAGGCCACAGGTACTGAACCATGGAAGCAGGACTGGAACCCAGATGTTTGGACTCCACGCCTGCTTTTCTTCCATGACACTATGCTAACTGGGCCTTAAAGGAACTAATTCCAGATCTGTGGGGACAGGGCTACTCCGTTCCCTCAACTTTCTTTCTGTGTACTGACTGAGAAACACAGAGCGCCTTGACCACTCTGTGACCCAGCCATCTGCATTTCTCCTGCAGGCTTCAGCCTAAGCAGGGGCCTTGAACATTCCCAGGCACGATAAAAGTGTTTAGGCTGTTGCCCAAAACACTGAAAGAATCTAGTCCCAGCCCTGAGCCAAATTCCTTAAACCCTCCTATAAACTCTATACCTCTGTACCCCTCGCTGCAGACACACCTAGGTAGAACATCCCTTTCTCTTGCTGTCTGCCCAAGGGTTGCTGCAGCACTCTGTAAGTAAGTCCCCCGAATAAATGTGTTAGACTGATCATCTTGGCATTTAGTGGGACTTTCTTTTGAATCTCAGCTGACCCCTTTTTGGGATGGTTTGGAGCACACCTTTGGAACTCCCACATAGCTGCTTTGGGGGCAACTCTGGCTGTGGGTTCACTGGACAAAATAGTGGGACATTGAGGCCAATGCTGAAGGCAGCAAAGGATCCAGTTGTAGGGCAGAGAATTCTATAACTTTCAGAGCTTGAAGGATCCTAGAGACATCCAGTCCAATGCTCTCCATTGATAGAGAAGGAAACTGAGACCCAAAGAAAAAGCAGTGACTTGTCCAAGGTCTCAGTGAGTCACTGGAGTCAGATTTAGAAGTAGAGGAAAAGGTTAGTTAGGCAGGCAGAGTTAAGGATTCAATCTGTTGTCTTAGCTCACAACTATAAGTCATGAAGCCAAGATTAAGGCCTCTATTAAATGAAATGTTACCATGTAAGACATGAGCCTTGCCTGTAAGAAGTTTGCAGCTTAATTGGGAGAATAAAATAATAAGTGAACAAACAGTCACCTGGGCACCAACATGAGGCTGAAAAAGCTCTTCCCAGAGGTAAGGAAGCTTAGTTTCGGGGTCCATTATTTTAGTACCAGGCTCTGTGACCTAAAGCAACTTCCTTCCCCTCTCTGGGACTCACCTTCCTGATATGTAAAATGAAGGTAAGTGGCAGAGATGATTCCCTGGGAGTGCTTCCTGTTCTAAAGTTCTGTGAGTCTATAATTAATTCAGAGATCAACTATGAAGAAAAGGCATCTAGACAAGGGCACCAAGACTTCAACAGAGCAAAGCACTTAAGAGTACTACAATGGCAGCTGGGATGGGGGCGAAATCAGCAGAAGGAAGGATTCTTGGAGGAGATGGGCTTGAAGAATGGTTTGATGAAGGATGGGTGGAGGATCTGGCATTTATAGCATGGTGCACTTCCAAGAGAGGTGTTTCCCCAAAGTCTTCCAGTATCAACTTGGGAACTATTTTAAATGTTTGGGAAAATGGTCCAAATGTATGGTTCCTTTTCTGAGTGGGAAATTCCACTCACTCGATGTGGTCCCTGCTGATACAAGTAGTGTTTTACCCTAACACAGAATTAAGAATAGGGTCTAATCCAGCACATGGTCTCATTCCAGGGCAAAGTGGTTGGATTCCCAGCAGAGCAAGGCTCACAGGCCAGGGCCCTGAGCATCTCTGCTCTCCATGGGCTTTGCCTGGAAGAATCCATATTCCTAAGGCCTTTAAATCAGCAGTGTCTTCCAAAACATTGTTTTTATAAAGAATCATTTAGGAAGTTTTTTTGAATATTCTTTTAAAAAATAAGAATTTTGAGTAAAGTTTAAGGCAAGATAATTTCCACTTTAAACTACTGGCTAACTGTACAATCAGAGGGATAGTTCCACCCACAGTGTTGCAGGAGTGCGGGACAGAAAGGCAGATGGCGCAGCTTCTACGTTTTGTTCTGCTACGGAACGGTGGTGGATCCTGGGCTGTGCTACTCCATCTTTCTGTACCTGTTGCCTCATCCTTGCATTTGCTCATCCCACACATCCCTGCTTGGTAACTCCTAGTCCTTCTTTCAAATCCAGTTCAAATGCCACCTCTTTGGAAAAGCCTTCTGGACATTTTAAACAGGCTAAGTTAGTCCCAGGATGCTCATCTCTATTAAAGAATCACATAGTCTACTTTGTTGACTGTCAACTCCTTGAGCGCAGAAACTGAGTTTATTCATTTATGTATTTGCCCTGGTATTCAATCCAGAGCAGGGTCTCAAGAAATATTTGTTGCTATCATTCAAAGAATTCAACTAGATGATCTCAGAGATCCCTCCCAGATCTAAAATTTTGTGGTTCAGTCCTACTCAAATCCAATGGTATAAAAAATATGTCTCCTAATAAAATTACTATAATTACCAGTTACATTTTTAATAAACTGCAGATAAGTGTTATATACTTTTTAGATTCTGATTGATGAAGTCTGCAAGATGCAAACCTGTTTATCATCTGCCAAAAAGCCTCCATAGTGAGAAAGTGAGGACAGCATATTTTTGTGACTGAGCCCAGTGTTGGTTGCTAAATCTGACAGAATAGAAGCCTGTTTGCTACAAAACTTGCCACAGGCTGTTGGTGTCAGAGAAGGCAGAAATTTTAAGAGACATGAAATAATTTTAAGATGGCAACAAGGTAATGGAAGGGAGACATATGGAGAATATTTTATTTTGATAGGATGTTTATGTGTATAGTTTTTTTCTTCCACTTGGAGGGATTTCAACAATTTGGAGGTCCACGTGAGATCTCACAAATAATGAGTCTTCACTGACCAGCTATCTCTATGCTAAGCTCTAGGGCAGAAGTGACATTCATTGGCTTGGAAAAAGTGTGAACTTTACTGCATAAATACATTGTATGTTCCCAACTGGCGTTTGGTGAATTTTTTCCCCAACTGTCTCTCTCCTGTTTTACTCATGTTCATACTGCAGCTGCCTTCATTTAGCAAAGGAGTACCTTTAGATCTGCTTGGATTCAAATTAAAAATTCAGCTGTCTATGAATAACTGATTTTCATAATTGGGTATATGGGATATTGGAAAACAGGGGCCTTTCCTCTAGCTTTTGTTTTTCTATCTCAGCAGTGGGCCCTAGTAGGAAATTCTATTTCTAGGAACATGTTTTTCCTTCCATCAGTGTTAGAATGCAGAGTTTAAATGTTTCCTCAGCTCATTCTCTGGACATGTGTTGTGAATGGGCGTGTTCTCTGGATGTTGAACAAAATATCGGTCAGAATACAAAGGGGCAACTGCAGAAGGAAGAAAAGACAACAGCCATTCTTCTCAGAGGAGACGCAGGAGTCAGGCAACCAGGGAACCCAATGCAGTGCCCATTTTGCCTGCTAACTACTGTTTTTCAAAAACAAATTATTAGTATTGTTGGGACAAGGTGAAAGATGATCACAGTTGATAAACAAGTCCTCCTGAGTCTGGTGTTGATGTCTGGGAAAGCCTGCTGTCATTTGCCACCTCTGGTTTTCTTTTTTGAAATCCCAAAGCATCATTTTGTAGGAGATAAGGTCATGGAATAAAATCCTGTGTGGAGGGGACTGTGTGGGAAGCCCAGTTGCCTACTGAACTCTTGTTTAACGGGAGCAGTGATCCTGGAAAAGAGAGGGTAGCTTCTCCTCCATCAGCTCACCGTGGCATGGGCATACCTGCCTCTTGCCTTGGTCTGAGCAGGCAAACCTCTGTGGTCAGGGGAGCTTGATGTTGGACCCCAGCAGCAAAGACAGAGGAAACCAGCTGTGTGGGTGAGGTCAGGGCCCACTCACCAATCTCAGTCTCTCCTTTCTGCTCATCTTGCATTTATCCCTCCCTGCCAGACCTCCTCTATGTCTTGTTCCCCTGTGATGTGTCTAA